AGCAACCGCCTAGTGACCCGGGGGCCCCCCAAAAACAGGCGCATGCGGGACCGCAGCCGTAGGAGAGACTCCAGAGGAAAAGGCAAGAAAGCAGTCCCAGAGTCCCACACAACACCCAGCCAGGTCCGAATCTGGGAGGGAACCAAATGGGACTTCCTCCAGTTCACCAAGAACCCGAACCCGGCGAGCTGGGAAAGAACTAAGTCTCTGGCTAGCAGACAAGAGGACCGGCTGGGAGCCCAAACCAGCCAGTCGTCGAGGTAGGCCAACACCCGAACACCTAAGAGACACAGACGGGCCTCGACGACCCGGATAAGGCGTGTAAACATGCGAGGTGCCAGGTTCAACCTGAACGGGAGACAACGAAAGCGGCAACCCTGACGCCCCACAACAAAACTGAGCCAGTCCCTGAACCCTGGATGAATCGAGAAATGCCAATAAGTGTCCCGAAGATCCAGGGACACCATCCAAGAGTCCAGCACCAACAGGAGCCGAACCTGGGACAGCGTAGTTATCCGAAAGAAGGGTCAATGAACCCAGGGGTTCAGACGGGACAAGTCCAGAATGAACCTCAGGTCCTCACAGTTCTGTTTCGGCACTGGGAACAGATGGGAGACCCATCTGAGGGACGACACACCCAAGCGCACCCACTCCAAAACGACTAGACAGAGCACAGTGGAAGAGGCCTGCCCCGCAAGCCCCAAACCCCCCAAAGGAGGAGGGGCCACCCAACGCCACCGCAGTCCGAAGAAAACGACCTGAAACGCCCACAAATCATGAGACTAGGTGTGAACGAACAGCGCAAGCCTCTCCCCCATCGCCCCGTCAATGGGGCGAATCGCGAAAGGGCCAGCGCCCCTTACGAGACCCAGAGCCTCGCACAGAGCGAACACCGTGCCGACCAGACGAAGGCGGGGTCCGAAGGTGGAGCCGAACCCAAAACTGGCACCTGTGGCCTACCATGCTGAGCGGAGCCCCGAGCCCTAGCACGACCCCTTCAGGAAAGCCCCCCCCCCCCCCCGTGACCCCTGGAGAACCAACAAGTCTGACATAGAATGGCAACTGGCCGAAGCAGCCTGGATATACTGCGCCATGGCCAAAGGTGCAAAAAACAGGGGACAAAAAGGTGAAGACATCCTAAAAGCCAGGGCTCAGGCAGATTCCTATGAGGAAGCAAGCACTGCCTGCTGACACGCGAGCTGGAAAGCATAAAACAGTGAAACCGCATCCCACAAGATCAGTGCAAAGAGCTTCAACAAGGCAGCTGACGCGCAAGCCGCCAAGCCCAAGGCACTGGACCCCAGGTACGAACCCGAGCGCCCCCACATCCTACCCAAGCCAGTCCGAAAACAGCTCCGGGAGGGAAAAGAAGCACAAGGCTGAAGCCAAGAGGCCCCAGGCGCGCAAATCCTCGGCCACCTACGCAACCGAAAGGGAGGGAACCTGCACATGGAGCTGCAGAATCCCAACATCCTGGGGAAAGGGCAGGAGCAAACAAGCACTCATTAAGGTGCTCAAGGTCGTCCCCAGGAAAACCTGAACCACTGTTGAAGCCTCGCGCCACTCAAGCATACGAGAATGACAGAAGGAATGACAAGCCTCCAAAGCAAATAAAGGACAGTCCGCCAGGACGACCAGGCACAATGGGGCATACAAGGCAGACCCCCCACAAGGCAAAAACATAAAGAAAAACAAAACCCCGCAGGAGGAAAACGTACCCCAAGGAACAGAGTCGGCGCCCCGCACCAGTGCAAACTGCCTCTTACTCTAAGGTAAACAAGGACGACAAAACCCCCAAGCACCCAAAGGGTGGCCGAAAAACTGAGCAGTAAAATGGCCCAGCAGAGGCAGGCCCCGAGGAACTTGTGGAAGGTGGCCCCAAGCTCCAAGGGCAGTACTTACAGGGCATCTAGGGACGATAACCCTAGGCACATGCATCCCGAGTACTGTAGAATAACTCCTGGCTCTTGCACCCCTGGAAGACAGCCACCACACTCAAAGCACAGTGCTGGAAACTCTGGAGTCAAGCACACCACCTCTGCCTCTAGCATCAGCCTTAGAACTGAAGGGTGGATAGCCGGAGCGGGGGTCTGCTGCTCCCCCTTCCCCCTCCCGGGAAGGGGGGAGCTGCGCAGACAGCGGTGCGGCGACGTGTGACGTCATGCTCGTTTCTTTTAGGGGAGTTCTATCCATTTGTTTGGCTTTTGGTAGCAAAATTGTCACCAGAATAGGGGTTTGTTTTGGGATGCTTACCTTTCTGGGTGCCTGACCCAGTCGATGGCAGACACAGAATGCTCCCAACCACACAGGGGGTTTCTATAGGCCATTGCTCCCCATGCCTCTGAGGGGGGCCAGGTTCTGGCTCGTGGTCCCCAGTTGGCCCACAGAACTCCATACACATGACTGATGCCAAAGTCTGACATTAGCATATCAGCTTAGTAAGCTCCAGGGAGCCGAAGGGGCTTCCCCTCTCCCAGAAAACATAGTGGCCACCTCTGATGAGTCCAAAAAACATATTGGCCACCGCTGGTATGTCCAAAAAACAGTGGCCACAGTATAGTGCATGACAAGTGACACAGTCGCTGGCAGACGACAGCACCTCACTCCCTCACCAACACCTCTTTCATCAAAATGGCTCTTCCCAGCATACTGTTTGTGCTGTTATTACACTATATACACATGTTATATATAAGTATCTACATCTGTGTTCACATTAACGAACCACCAAGCTGGCATGTCGAGTCCAGACAATAACAGAGGTGGCCACACACAGTAAATGCAAAGTAATGAAACTAGGCAGCAGAAACAGAAGGCCAGACACAGGATACAGAATGGGAGATGAAGTACTTCATGAAATGGACAGAGAGAAAGATCTAGGGGTTGACATCACACCAAACCTGTCTCCTGAAGCCCACATAAAAAGAATTACGTCTGCGGCATATGCGAGACTGGCTAACATCAGAACAGCATTCAGGAACCTGTGTAAGGAATCATTCAGAATCTTGTATACCACATATGTAAGACCAATCCTGGAGTATGTGGCCCCAGCATGGAGCCTGTACCTTGTCAAGCACAAGACGAAGCTGGAAAATGTCAGAGATATGCCATTAGACTAGTCCCGGAGCTTAGAGGCATGCGTTAAGAGGAAAGGCTGCAAGAGATGCACCTTACGACACTGGAAGACAGAAGAGTAAGGGGAGACATGATCACTACCTACAAAATCCTCAGGAGTATTGACGGGGTAGACAAGGATAAACTATTCAACACTGGTGGTATGCGAACAAGGGGACACAGGTGGAAACTGAGTACCCAAATGAGCCACAGGGATGTTAGAAAGAACTTTTTCAATGTCAGAGTAGTTAACAGGTGGAATGCATTAGGCACTGATGTGGTGGAGGCTGACTCCTTACACAGTTTTAAATGTAGATATGATAGAGCCCAGTAGGCTCAGGAATCTGTACACCAGTTGATTGATGGTTGAGTGGCGGGACCCAAGAGCCAAAGCTCAACCCTCGCAAGCACAATTAGGTGAGTACAGTCAGCAGACGCTGCCACCTCCCGCACCCCTCACTAAAATTACTCCTCCCACCCTACTATGCACAATGCTAAGTCTCACCACAATGCTGCTATTATCAGAATTTTGGTCACTAACTCCTATAAATGAATAATTTTCCACAAGTTTATTTTGTAAAGGAACATGAGAAGTCATTCAAGATTCTTAGATGGACCAAACAATGGCAGTGTATATTCACCAAGTATTGACCTAGTTGTGCTTGCGGGGGTTGAGCTCTGCTCTTTCGACCTGCCTCTTAACTGTCAATCAATCAACCGTTACTAACTAATTTTGTTTTTTCACACACACACACACACACACACATCCCCCAGGAAGCAGCCCGTAACAGCTGTCTAACTCCGAGATACCTATTTACTGCTAGGTAACAGAGGCATCAGGGTGAAAAAAATGCTGTCCACTCAGCCATGAGCACAGCGTGTGCTGTGGTTAGCCCTATGAACATCTTTAAAAGCATTGTGTTCACCGATATCTGAACATTGTACAGTCTTTATCAGTCAGGCTCTTCTGTAATACTATCATGGCTAAATAATAGCAGGTACATATATACATCTTTTGCCATTTTTAGGCTATGCTGTGGTCACAAGCTGAACAGCAGTGATGTTAGCTCATGCTGCGTGCACCAGCCTCGGTTGCTCACTCAGTACTGATGCCTTCACACCCGGGAATGTTGCCCACGATTTTTTTTTTTCTAACGCAGTCTATGTACCGGAGCCCTGAGGAAGCTGATGTGAACTCCGTGTAGCCACAGGACTTTTAAATCTTGCATGGTAAAGTACTTTAAAATGCATATATACGACATATGCCATTCTGCCACTTATTCCAATATCGTATACAGTATATACAATTTGCACAGTTTAAGGGTTAAAGCTGGAGATAGATGGTTCCTCAGTAGGCATTATCTTGAGATGATTAGTTGTGGGGAGGGGGGGTAATAACCCCCATAGTTATTAGTTGTGGGGATAACAACACAGCCCACATAGGGGTGGGTCTGTGTGTTATTACAGGAAGTAGATCAGAAAAAGCAGTCTATTTTGCTAGCAAGAAATTATCTCCTGCAAAACAGAATCATTCCCAATTAGACAAAGAAGCCTTAGCTTTGGTACATGCTGTAAAAAAACTGAGGTATTTTCTGCTGGGATTCTTGTTAGAATAGACCATAAACCTCTGCTACGATTGTTTGGCAGAGGTAAACAAATTCCAGTTAATGCCAATACAGGTACTAGGATTCAACGATGAGCATTGCTACTCTCACAGTATGAATATGATTTGGAATTTAAGCCAGGCAAGGATAATGTAGTAGTTGATGCATTAAGTAGATTGCCTGTTTCAGAAAAGTTGAATTCCAGTATTCCAGTGGAATATGTTAACCTGGTGGAATCTGTCTTTTGAGGATATTTCATTGCAAAATAAACTCTGCTGTTCTTACCTTTAATTTGTCCCAATATGTAAAGCGATCCTGGAATATGTCAGTAAAGACAACACTATCGGGGCAGTCCTTATAATACTTCACGGTGTCACGCTGTACAAAAGATGAATAATGCAATATTAAATAACATCAAATACCTGTACTTTAATCTAAAATTAAAGCTAATCTATTGTGAATTCAAGAGATGTTCCTGAAATGAGAATGACCCTCAAAGTCAGAGAGGTTAGGCCCTAGAATCACTTAAAAGAAACTAGTGTTGAATGTAATGAAACACCATTTTCTGGGTGAGCCCCGGAGACTCTCTGGAGCGCCAGGGCTAATGTGTGATACATTAGACTGGGGCCAGATTCACGAAGCAGTTACACAAGCACTTACGAACCTGTACATCTTTTCTCAATCTTTGGCGGCTTTGTTTACAATTATTAAACAGTTAATGAGCTCCGTAGCACGAGGAGGCTGTTTACAACAATAACAACAGTTGATTAGGAGATTTTCATGCTTATAAACTGTGTAATAAATGTAACCAAAGCCATCAAAGATTGAGGAAAGATGTACACGTTCATAAGTGCTTGCATAACTGCTTCGTGAATCTGGCCCCAGGGCATTAGTCTATGGAGTTTAACCTACTGGGGACCATGAGCCAGAACCTGAGAACCTCCTCAGAGAGGTTGCAGGGAGGTGGAAAAAAAGTGGCCTGGAGGTGGCCTTTTTTCCAGGGAGGCGCTGGAAAAAAATTTGCGGTTGGGGGTTTTCCTTATCTGCCATCGACTGAGGTTAGGCACCCAGAAAAGTATGCATAACAAAATAAACCCCACATGGTAAGAAATGTACAAAGAAAAAGCAAACAGAGGTAGAACTCCCTCTAACCCTAAGGAAACAAGCAAATAAGCAAACATCACTTTCGAATGCCATGCCGCTCATCCGTGCAGCCCTCCCCACGCCAACTACCCTGCACTCCAGTTCGGAAACTAAGCATTAAACAACGTGAAAAACCGCCGACCGGAGGGAGGGAGGGAGGGTTGCCAGGGAGCCTCTGGAGCTCGCCCAAAAAAATGGCGTTTCATTACATTCAACACCGGTTTTCTGTGGGGAGCCCCGCTGGCTCCCTGAAGCTACATAACCAAAGATAAGGAAAAGAGGGACATACCTGGGAGGAGGCCACTACAAACTTCTCAACGCGAAGTTGAGACAACTGGCTACAACCTGTGACCCAAAGCAACACAGGAACACCCAGGAGCAGGAATGTTAATCAACTAACGGGTGGCCAGGACCCTGTTTGACCTCCAAAATCCCCGCACCTGAATATCAGCTCAAAACATGTTGTCAAACACGGCAGCCAATGCAGCAAACTTCCTAACGTCATGGGCATGAAGATAGACTGCAGGTTGGCTTCAGTATTGGGCATTAAATGACAATCCTGAAAAAGCCAAGACAGAAAGGACAAGACAACCCGATCAGAAATTGAAGACAACCTATGAAGAGAGAAAATGGCAGAAAGAATGCCAGGAAACTTCATACTGTTGCCGAGACGAAGTTCTCAGGTGGGACACCATCAACGAAGCCACCTGATCACCATACAAATGGTGATAAACACGCATAACGGCTTTGTGCTTTCCCCCCATAAAGGAAAAAAGAATGAGTGGACCTGGGGACTCACCAGTGTCAAAAAGACAAGATGCGAAGAGCAGAGAAGACCGAACCAGCTGAGTACCGGACTGGTCCGACCTGCTGGAAGAGGCAGAGCAGCGGGAAACGTCCCGGGTTCGCACACCGAGCAAGCAGCGCCTGGAACCAATTCTGAGCCAGCCCCCAAGGGACCATGAGGATTATTCTCTCTTGGTAGGACTCTAACCGAGCCAAAACCCAAAGCAACAGCTGGACTGGGGGGAGGAGGTACAGGTAACCTCACCTTGACCAGTCCTGCCAAAAGACGTCCACCATGACAGCCTCGTAGTCGGGGAAGAGCACCACAGAGAAAACAACCAGAAACTGAGGGACAAAAGGCGAGGGAGCAAGCATAGCATATGGCCAGGGACACTGGGCCCAAACCCCAGGGCCCAGACTCAAACACAGACAGAAAACACAAAACCGGGTGAAATAACCAACACCCAAGCATTCCCAGAGGAACAGAAGGGCAGAATGCACTAGAAGAAAAAACAAAACAGAGATATGGCAATGGGAGGATAAAACCTCCAAAGGAGGTCAAAAAATGCCCCCAAAATGTGAGTGCACGCTCCCAGTCACATGTAAACAAACACACCACAGTGCCGCCCTAGCGGCCAGGCGGGGAAGTGACCAACAGAAAAGAAAATAGCCACCAAAACGAAAGGAGATACAGCTGATGCAAGAGATCTGAAAACATGCCAGCAAATGAGATAATAAAGCAGTCGAGAAAGACGAAAAAAAAACCTGCCCAGAATGCATCAAACAAGCAGGGACAAATAGCCCCAGAACTACTAGCGGGCTCCCCCCACCTCCCCACAGCCCCAGGAACCCGCAACAGAGGCCCCAGGGCAGAGCTGTCCTCCATGCCCTCCACTCCTGAAGAAATGGCAGAGTCCAGGGGAAAGGCAGCAAAAAAAGGGCCGCTGGTAGGACCCAGAAGCCTTTTTGGGAAGCCTTTTCAGATCGAGCAGGCTCAAATGCCTCCATTCACAACCTGAATGGAGCAGCCCCTCGAAGCTGCCCGAGTATCAGCCCCAACTAAACCCTGCCCGACCCTGAAACCCCCAGTCGGTTCGGAGCCGGGAAGCAGCCAGGACCCTGTTCGACTACCAAAATCCCCATGCCCGAATGTCCGCCCAAGACACAGTCCCAAAGAACAGCAGCAAGAGCCGCGAACTTGCGAACGTCACGGGCACGGGGATAGACCGCAGGCTGGCCAGCCTTAATAAATAACCCTACAGACGACCTGGGAGACCCACATCTGCGAACAGGGAAGAAGGGATACTGGATCAACTAAAAGCGCATCCACGGACACAGAAGCCGTGGCACGCCAATACCTGCAGAGAGCCGCAACCGGGCACAAAACATGACGCATCCCCGGCCTAACCAACAAAGCATCAACAACCCAGGGACTCCTCCAGAAAGCATCAGTCTCATTCTTCGCCAGAAAAGAAGGAGAAGGCTGCAGAAGAACAAATCGATCGCTCCAACCAAAGGAACAGAAACCCCCAACGCCGGAGGAGAGCATGAAGCTCACCAACCCGACCCCCAGAGGCTAATGCCAACAGGAAAAGAGCCCCCGAGAAATAAATCAGAACTAAAGGGGCCACAAGAAACCAAGGAGAAGAAAAGAGCACCCAGTCCAACTACCAGGACGGCTCAGATGGCACATGAGCAGGCCGGAGGTGAACCAATGCACTAGACAGCTTGCGGAACGGCGCAGAAGTAACGTCAACCCCGAACGCAAGTGAAAGCGGCTCTGCCAGCGCCACACAAAATGAGGCGACAGTATGCAGCAAAATGACGGCCCCGAACCCTCATAAAAGAAGGACAAGACCACACCAACAAAACACAGCTACTTAAGAAGGGACAGAAGGAAAAAGGAAGGACCGCCAAAATACCCCACACTGCCGCCAAGAAGAAACACGCAGGTGGGACACCATCAACAAAGCCACCTGACCACCACCAGAAAGCGAGACTCCAGGCAGAGCCGAACCAGCCCTGCCACGGACCAAACAAGCCATAGAAGAGGCGGAGCCCGCAGGAAGATCTCGGGTGCGACCACCGAACAGGCAGAGCCGGAAACCCAAACCAGCAAAGGAGGAGAAGGAACGTCAGCCGTACAGAAAAAATCCCAATGCCAGCGAGCACGTCAGGAGATCCGAGACCACGGCCCCGACTGAGACACGGAAGAAGGGACACTGCGAAACGCGGAAAAAGCCAACAGGTAGGGAAAGACAGGAACCAGAAATCCAAACCTGGCAAAGGAGAGCCAAAAGGCAGGCAGCAAACGGGAACGAAAGGCACGCCAACAACACACAGTCGTTGGTCAGGTCCCAACACAAGACCAAACCGAAAAAAGTGCAAGGGGCGCCACCAGACCAGCACCCAAACCAAGGGGTATGAGCAAAGAGGAGACAACGGGAAGCAAACTGCACCACAGTGGGAGACCGAAGAACCAGAGGGGACACCACTACCACCACAAGCAAGACCCAGAGGAAATGAGAGGGTAGACAAAGACAGACCAAGAAACACAAGGGGCACACGTACCAGGGGACACAGGCAGAACGGATGCCCAATAAGCAAAAGAAATGACAGAAGGATTCCAGCGTCAGAGTAGGAGACAAATGGAATGCATGAGGAAGGAGGAAGGCTCTGTTGTATCTGCACTTGACTCTGCACACAGAGTCAAGTGCAGATACAACAGAGCCCAGTAAACTCAGGAAGCTGGACCCAAGCCGAACGACAGGAGACACCAAAACCCCAGAGCGCAACCCCCGCAAACACAATGAGGGAAGCACAACAAGCATAGAGGCCCTGTAAATGGCAGGTGAGTGACAGAGGGGCAGGACCAAAGAGCCAAAACTCAACCCCAGCAAGCACAACTAGGTGGAGACAACTAGGGGAGTAGAGAGAACCCAACGTATCTGGAAGGGTTAAGCCAGGCACTGCAAGGCAGGCAAGGCATGAGTGACCCAGAGAAAATCATTGTAACAAATAGCACAGACAAACAAGGTAAGATTCCAAGGGTTGACAGACTGTCAACCAGAGGCTAATGCCTCTGCCTTGTCTGAGGAGCTGGTCACTGGAGACAGTGAAGCAAGTCCCAGCTGCGTCCGGGTACAAGTGACAGGATGAACAACCCAGTGGGTTCTCCTCCTATTGGGGAGTGTTGAACACGCCACTATGGCAGTATGTCCACTCGCAGGATGAGTGGACACAGCAGCACATAAGAAAATACAACATTTTAGCCCAATAAACTCGCCCTTCGGAGCAAAAGTTAAAAAAAAAAATTTTGGGAAGGCCCCCAGGAGGAAAACACGCAAGGGCCAAACAAAACGCCACAACCAACCCCAACACGCATCCTCAGTAACAAAACTGCATCAAAATGTCACCTCATAACATCCTGACACAGTAACATGTACCTC